ATTCATGATTCGTATCGATGGCGTTTCATAAGTAAGTATACATAACAAGCACATTGAAAACATAAAAACACCTTTCATCGTGTACTTTATAACTCAGAAATTATTTATTCCCATGCTTTGTATGAAATTACCCATAATTGGTATTATTCATCGGTAACTATCACGAAATCAACATAGGAAAGTGAATTGTAGATATGCCGGTGAGATAGTACAGTTAAACACACAATACATTAGTTCATATATAATATTAGTTTTCTTTTTCAGAAAATTGAATTGTTTATTTATTTATTTCGAATTATACAATTGAAAGATTTCGCCAAATACACGGAAGCTTACTAAATTGAATATAGAAACTACTGCCGATTCTATTACCATTAGTATTAAAATTTTCTGTGCCATCTTCACAAGAAAATCACGCCCTGAATCGCCACGCGAATTTAATCCAATTCACAACATCTATGACATGCGACCTGCGATGGATATGTGAATCGGTTCCCCAGTCGTGATCGGCTTGTGTTCTAGAGTTTGATGATTGCCCGAATGTCGAGACAAGATTACAATTTTCGCATCGACTGTCCATGGAGCTAACGGTTCTTGTGTTCTCGTAAGTACTGGTTTTGAGGTCGGAACTCACGGATGAATAAATCGGCTCTCATTAACGGTCATTATATGCAAATTATACGAGCGCATATTATTTATTAATAATGTTATAAGTAGTTCGAGTACCACGTACTTTATCATAAATAATAATTGTTGTTACGCAATTTGTTTTAGAAAATGTTAAGGTCCACGTATCATTTTCATTTTCACTGGGAAATATAAATTTCTATATTTTAAAGTTTGAATTGAAAAGTAATGAATAGGCTTTTGTTTATGAGCTGCCTTTAATAAGTGACCGCTCGAATGTGTGGTGTCCATTGTACATGGCCCCGGATTTGGTTCTGGATCAGTATTTATTAAAAAGTTTTGCAATCAAAATCTAGTTGTACTTGGTCTTGTCTCGTATGTGTTGTCGATACCCATAACACAGAACAAAATTATATCGTTAGATGACCTTTGTAGGAGCTTTATTTCATCATCATCAGCCTGTATCTCTCCACTGCTGGATGTAGGCCTCTCCCATAGTCCGCCACAATGAACGATCCTCCGCCTTCCGCATCCAATCTTTCCCAGCATATCGCCGCAAGTCATCGGTCCAACGGGCAAGCTTGGAGCTTTATTTAGTCAGAATATATTTAGGTCTGTATTACAGCAAGCTTGTATAAGCTATGTTTATGAAACTGAATCATAGACCTAGGCAGTCCAATAGCAATACAACAGAACAAAATATTGTTAAAATTGTGAATAACACAGATACTTCCCACAAGGTGGACCGTAGGATTGTTCTAAGGTATTTAAAAGTGGCTATATTAATTAATAAGGCTAATGAATTCTCTCATCTTTAACGAACAAACCAGAAATACAAAAAAAAAAAACTCGATATCGATTAAATGCAATTAATCAATTGAGTGCAAGAGTCGTCGATGAAATTGATATTTCATGTTCCCGCGAACGAGGAGTGGCCACCAATTTGTCCGCAGTTTTTTTTAATTAGTACGAATGTGGGAGGTAACAAATTCGATTTGGTCCTGCGGCTGCATCACGCTCGTTGCCTTTCTGTTTACGTTGATTAACAACAACCACGATCACGATTATATTTCAATTGACATTACTCAAATAATCGCCCCAGTCGAACAAAAAATGTTTCAATTCATATTTTATCTGTATGCGTGTACAATTAATTAAATTATTTAGAATTTCCACATAAAACAAAGTCGTACGAGTATATCAAAATAGAACAACATAATAAATCAGTTCTACAAATCATACGAGGTTTATTTTCCTGGATATAAATACAAATTAATTTAAAAAGTTAACTAATACTTGTACACTGCTGCGATGTCGTTAAACGCGATGCAGCGAAGGGTGTGGGGCTACAGAGGGCGCCAGTGCAGCGTCTTCCGCCCCCGCACTAATTAGGCTCACATTCTCATTCCGTTTTCGCGTTTAATTTCGCCAGCGGTTTCGCCTTAATTACGTTATTCGCGGCGGCGGCGGCGGTCGACACCCCGCCGTTGAACTTCAGACTTTTTTTTTTACTTAAGTCCAGTGACCGATCTGTATTCTTTTATGCTCTCCCAAAATTACGAAATATGCGGACGCTATAACACGACTTATTAAAACATATTCTAATGAATCCGTCGAAGAAATTACGGAAGTCTCCTCATCGAACTCGTCGATTACGATGACTAGTGAACTACCTCATAGACACAGCACACTGAGCTTCTCGCCGGATCTTTTCAGTAGATCTCGATTCCGATCCGGTGGTAGCTTCTACGAAGCACTGCTCTTGCTAGGGCTAGTGTTAGAAAATTCTCTCAGGTTGAGCCCGTGAGCTCACCCACCCGTCCGGGTGTAGCTGGGATAGTCTAAGACTACCATCAAATAGGTAGGGAAAAAAAATATGTACGAAAATTGCCTGTTGATTTGCATGTATCATTTGTTATACAAACAGTTTTAAAGTGAGTTAACATAAATATATAAATTCACCCGATAAAATTTCGTACAGTCACCACGGTTATTGTCGCTGACAAATACTTAGCTATCTACTTATGCTAAAGAGTACGAGTAAATAAATATTCACTAACAAGGTGACTTACACTTTCGCCTCCGACGTTTTTGAACGTGCAGCTCATTGCTGTAATTGAAAAAAAAACCACTTAACAGGTAAATAGGGTGCCAGGAGGAGGCTCATCGCGGAACCGCTTTGTTGTCGAGCGGTTGCTAATAAGATTTTTAAACGGCAACAAAGTATCCAATCAATGGAGCTTGAATAATGAAAATGGCACCTGCCAAGTTCCCAGGCCGCCCCACGGACCTAAACACGCACAGAGTTACGCGTCCTCCACAAACAAGCACGACTTTCAACCTTGAACATATTCAGACAAAACTCATTTTAACATAACTCAATCAAAATCGAAACTCTGCTAGACATAAGTTTGAATAAATATGCACAACTGTCTTCCGTGTACTGAAATGAAAATTCGTTCTATTTGGTGTATCATTTTTAATGAAGGCGAACGGATAATTCTGATAGTCTGTAATCTATCTTCATAGGCTTTTTATTTTCGTAGATTTCCCAATATCATATAATATAACTAGCGACCCGCCCTCGCTTCGCTTCGGAAACATTTTTTATTATTATTAATAGCTGAGTCCCGCGATGCTACCCGCGGTTATTGTCGTACCGCGGGTGAAGCCGCGAGACGAAGCTAGTCTAAAAAAAGTAGCCAAGTTACTCCTTATATCATCAGCTACCTATCAGTGAAAGTCCCGTCAAAATCGGTCCAGCCGTTCCAGAGATTAGCCGGAACAAACAGACAGACAGACAAACAAAAGTTGTAAAAAATGTTATTTTGGTGTATGTACCGTATGTATATATATTCATAATATGCATGTAGTAAAGAGAGGCTATTTCAATATTACAAACAGACACTCCAATTTTATTTATATGTATAGAATAATAATAATCATCATCATTATCCTGCCCTTCTCCCAGTCACCTGGGGTCGGCGCAACATTTTTTCTCCTTCCATACTCTTCTATCATATACCATTTCTTCGCTCACTCCCCTCCTACCCATATCGTCTTTCACACAAATGTATAGAATAATAATATAAACTGCTATTTAAAATATACCTGAAACCGTTAATTATACCAAACCAGCTGTTTTAGCTTTGTCTAATAAACTCTAATGGAAATAAATGTTATTACAAGAAATCAGATTTATTTCTAAAAAATATAAGTTTCAAGGAGCAGCCTAATGAGTGATGGTTGCGCACGCGACGTTGTTCATTAGCACTCACGCAATGTAACCAGTCACTCGATGTGTATCGATCGCAAAGATCTCCTTTAGAATCATGGCGGATCCATTTTCTAAATACTATTTTAGATACATTTTTTGTTGAGATCGCTAATAAAAAAATAAAAAATTATTGCCTTACATATATGCGGACGAGCATACGGCCCACCTGATGGTGAGTGGTTACCATTGCTCATGGACAAGGCATGCCAGAGGTAGAGCCGCTGCCTACCCTTTAATACTCTTCACAAGCCTCGTTTGAAGAAGGACATGTCATAGCGCTCGAAACTCTCTAAGCGCTCACTAAGTCAAACTCCTAATATTTTTATACTCCATATAATTGGTATGCCCTTCGACTGTTACAATCCTTCAGCCTGTCGGACACAGAAATTAAGCAAATTACATCCAGCAAAGCAAATCGTTCCAAAAGAGAGGGCCACTGAAATAATTGTCTGCTTTAGTCTCAGAGAAATAGAATTACAATCTAAATTAATTACGCTTTTAAAGCGTCCGTTATTCTTAATTAGTTTCTGCACCGCAGCGGAAGCTCCGCGCCCGACTCGCGCTCTGTTAATGAAGGGTAGTTTCAAATCAGTGCGTTTGATCAACTCTGTGCAGTCTTAATTACGGCACCCGTTCCGCGCGGGACAATCCGGTTATTTATGACTACATAAGCTTGATTATTCTTTAATTAATACTTGTTTTAAAACGTTTAATTAAGTTTTATGGCGACAGGGCCGCGCAGACGTCCCGTCGCTCTGCCGGCCGCGAGCTAATTGGATCAGGTTGACGCACTCCTCGCCCCGAAACCCTCAGTACTCACCCCCACTGGCACCTTCAACCCCTTCCTAATTGTATGAAATTGCTAATTGGAAAATTTTATAAACGCGGTCACCCAGAGGCCTACGCTTGAATTCGTCCTAAACGAGGATTCCGACGAAAAAGTATTTATTCAGGCTTAATTCATCAAAAATTTTTTTGCTAAAGCAACTCTACTCTGTTTTCCTAGTTTCATAATCCAATTAGAAACCAAATTGAAAATACGTATTCATAAAATTTTTCATAATGCGTAATTAACTTGGCTTTTTGTTTTGCGCAGGGCGTGTAGTCGTGGTGGTCGGTGTGAGCGGTTTCCGCTCCAACCGTCAAGCTGGCAGCGAGCGCGTTGAGCATGAACCCGCACTACCACGGGTACGCGGAGCTGAGCTCGCCGCACCCGTCCTCTCCGGAGGCCTCCTTCGCGGCCAACGGGCACGATTATCCACACAACAACAATAACCCGGCGCTAAAGGAATGCGCGGGCTGCGGTGGGAAAATCGTCGAGAGGTTCCTCCTTCACGCCCTGGACAGATACTGGCATCACGGCTGTCTAAAATGCACGTGCTGCGGTCAAGCCCTCGCGGACATGGGAAGATCCTTCTATTTCAAGGGTGGGATGATATTATGCAAAAACGATTATACGAGGTAAGATTCCTATATTTTCACGTTTCATATACATACATAAAATATAATAACTTTATACGTACGGACTGTCTCTATAATCACAAGAAACTGTAGATCGTTAAATATTACTAATTAGTTCCAAAAACAAATGTTTCCAAAAGAAGTTTGACGAAGCATATTGAATCCGTTCGGTAACTTAATAAATCTAATAAAAATATACAGGTTGGTACTTCGGTTTAATCTAAAGATACAACAGCTAATTGGTACCATTTAAGGCGCGGAATTCGATGTTCTCCACTCCAGATCGATCTTTCCCATTGATCATCGATAAAAGATTCAGTTTTTAGTCCATCATCAGAGGATGACAATGGAGTGTCTGTCAAACGCGTCTCTCAAAAAAGTTTACCGAGAAAGCCGCGGACGCATTGTTATGAAAATGCTTTGAACGGTTGTGTTTTCTACCTGAGCGGTGGACAAAAAGTACCCAGTTTTGCACACAACGAACGGTCGACGCCGTCTCGTGAACCAAATAAATTGGCCCAGACAAAAACGCTAAGGACTAATTCAGAAACGGAGGTTCCAAAGTTTTTGATCTAACAATAAGTTCCTTGCTAATTAACGTCCTATGCGGTACGAGAGTTCGAATTTAATGATCAGAGTTTTTTTTCCCTGGATATCCATATTAAATAAGTCGCCAATGCACCTTAACAGATCCATGTATATGCTAAATTGTAAAAAAATACGACCTTAAGTATTATAAACACTTAAAATTTTGATTAGAGGAGCATTTATGGGAAGAACTATGTGGCACTTCTTTACCACACACTGTGGCACTTTTTACTGATGGTAAGACCTCTTGAGAGTCCGTGCGGGTAGGTACCACCACCCTGCCCATTTTTGCCGTGAAGCAGTAATGCGTTTCGGTTTGAAGGGTGGGGCAGCCGTTGTAACTGTACTTGAGACCTTAGAACTTATATCTGTTGGTGGCGCATTTACGTTGTAGATGTCTATGGGCTCCAGTAATCACTTAACATCAGGCGGGCTGTGAGCTCGTCCACCAACCTAAGGAATAAAAAAAAATACAATTTTTTTTACATAGTTAGTTACGTTGATGCTAAATTACATTAATATTCTTTTTATAAGTCTAGATGTATTTACATTCGCTAAGCTATCTGTACTTGTTGTTTAAGATTTTAGAATACTAAAATAGTGTATGCAACACGCACATGGAGAGCAGCTGTCGAGATGCTGCCAGAGTTAATTAACTGAACGCAAAGAATTCGACCCAATTACTGAAATCCACGGCTGCCAACCTATTAACAGCATATCAGAGATTGCTTCTTATGCATACGAGTATATGCTAACAGAAAGAGACAAATACAGTTTACAATTACAACAGACTACACTGTATTTGAGGCCATCAGCGCAAAAGTGGCATAACCCACAATTTTTTATATTCAAGTTTATATTATGACGTATATTGGTATTATTTAAAATATCATAAAATTTGATGCAAAACTGGCCCATAGTTTCACCCATAGATTACAGAGAGCTTTGTAAACATTATTTTTGCGCGTATTGTTTTTTTGCCTACTCAAATTCAAATTCATGAAAATTAAAACCTAAAACTATACTATGGTAAGCTTAGGCCACTTTTGCGCTGACGGTCTCATTTGATTGATAAATTCACGTATATCTCCTTCAGTTACAATTTACATTGAATAGGATAAATTAATATTATTTGACGGAAATATAAATTTGTCGAAGACTGATTTGTGATGTTTACCGGCGGTTGAGAGTTAAACTAGAGCGAAGAGTGGGACGACCGCGGCGCGGGTCGTGCGTCGTAGATTCGATAAAGCTCGTCTCACAGTTGACAGAGACGAGGCGGCCTAACGAGCGGTGGCAGGTGCGGGGCCACAGAGGGGGATGAAGAAGTGCGGTTCCGTGCATGTCTCTGCTGATTGACCCGCGTCACTCGGCAAACAACAACTAACGAGTCGGCCCCCGCGCCTCTAGCTACGGTAATTCGCCCGAATCGCTCCCGTGGCGGCGGCCGCCCGCCGGCTTTACTTACACGACTTCCCTGATTGAGACTCCTTAACGAAATTAACGCTCTCTCACGCAAACAACCGCCGTTTATCCAACGCCTTTTGTCCTGATATGATGGATTGCGGTCCCGCTTTATAAAGACGCCGATGATGTTTCGTACTCCTGATTACTATGTACGCACGACGTTCGTGGAGGTGCGACGCCGCGTGTGTAATGTAGCTATCAAAGCGACAAGAGCGTTCCATTCCAAGCAAACACATTCGAATTTGATTGTGATTTATGACGTGTCATTGTGTGTTGAAATAATATTAATCGCTTTGTAGGTGTATTTAAATTAAGCATAATATTAGTTGCAACATCGCTTGAATATCACGCAATAAATTTACTTTAATTTAATATGCATCATCGAACAAACATTCTAAATAATACTAAAGTGAAGTAGTCTTTTACTAAGGCAGCGAGCTTGAGGCTTTCGCATATGAGGCACGTCCACGCGACTGAAAGCAGGTTCGTTAGGGCGCGTGCGGGCTCCGTCAATCAAGGCAATTGCCGCTCAATCGGCAATCAGCCCCACCGCACTGCCACTAACGAGCCGCCCTCTAAAATACCAACTTCTTACCTATTCTCAGCAAACGACGCATACTTGCCGGCATCGTAAGTTTTTAATATTCGGTTGTGCTAACCTTTACGGATGAAACAGAAACGTTTTGTGCGGTTTTCAATCAATCAAATGAAATAAAAAAAAAATATTCAACATAAATGAAAGTACATACTTGTTGAACGTCAAAAAGAACTACCGCCAATTTACAAAAACTAGCCTCCGTCCTGAGAAGAACTGGCAAGAAACTAAGCGAGCATGTCTTTTTTTTTTAATATTTATTTATTTATTTTTAGTTTTTTTTTTAAATATTTAGTTTTACAATGAGTTTTATAACGTAACAATTATTGCAATATTGAAATGCCCGGAGCGAGCAACTCATTCCCACTTTGTGCAATCTTCTAGATAATCATTGATTTTATAGTAAGTAAGTATATTGCACAGATGTTCTTTAATAGTTTTCTTAAATCTATGTATATGTAGGTTCGTAAAACGTGGTTGTTATTATGCATGATTAGTGGATCTATTATTGTTAGTTCTCGTAGCAAGCTTTTTTTTTTTATTGCTTCGATGTGTGGACGAGCTCACAGCCCACCTGGTGTTAAGTGGTTACTGGAGCCCATAGACATCCACAACGTAAATGCGCCACCCACCTTGAGATATAAGTTCTAAGGTCTCAAGTATAGTTACCTTCAGGGTTCTTCCGTGAACCGTACACACGTACAAAGATGTAATCGCGTCAAATATTTATTACGGCTTGGACACGAAACGTGTATTTATTTAACGCATGTCCAGGGAGGCGGGGTTCAATTTGGGCGACGCTCGTTAAGTCGCAAAAGACGTGCGATTTAATTGCGACCGCTCGCCCCTAATGAGGCCCTGTGTCCCGGACTCGGGCGTTTTCTGCACAAATTGACATTGTACGTAAATTGATGTCGCCAAACTCAGAGCTGTTTTATCCTTGTGCCGGTGCTATTATAAATTTCATTTTAATTTATCTGCACTTTTCGTTATCGCTAAATGTTATTGCATTCTTTGGAATAATGATATACTCTAATCTAATTACCCGGATATCATATATGTTGATTTACTGATCCTTGTTTAATCAGCTTTATATATTACTAGTGGTCCCCCGGTAGTCGAAATTCAACTATAATTAATTGAAATTATAGGTTTGTACGCTATTATCTATAGAGTCTATTGTCAAAGACTATTATACTTTTATAATCTACACTTTAGACAAATAATATTAAAGACAAACAATATCTAAGCAATTTTTTTAAGGGATTTGATGACCTGGTAACTAAGTCCTTTAAGTCATGTCTTGTTTTAATTTATATTCATATTTTTATGAAAAATGATAATACGGAGTGAAATGAAATGAAATGAAGATGATTAATTTGAGACATTAATCAACTGCCATGAAATTAAATGAAATGAGATGAGATGATTTGGGATGAAATATAATCTCAGTAAAATGGTGGTCATTTACTGAGATTTTTTTCAGTGGAATTTTGGAGGATCCCGAGAAGCTACGTCCAGCAGCTGTTTCATTTTCCCATATTTGTGCACTTTCACAGATATTAAACAGCTAATAAACCACAGTTAATACACATTTAAACCTGAAGAAACACTAAATAAACAAAATAAAACAAATCACACAACTTCACTCCTCGCGTTCCCGCCAAAAAAGTGATATTTATGATATTCTTAATTTGACTATAGGCAATAAGAAATTTTTGACAATAAACAAATAGTATGCATCCGTGTGTGTGTGTCAAATACATAGTAGTGTGTGTAATGTTTTTTTTATTGATTTAAAGTACTTTGTACGCATAATTTAAAAAAAAATATTAACATTCTGCACTCCCATTCAAACAATTTCTCTATAAGTGTAGGAAATATCATGCTCCTCCGTCCACGCAATTGTCGTAAAAAGGGGTACAAAGTTTTTGCTTCACTTATTAATATTATTTTATAGATTATGATTTTTTTATATTTAAAGAGTGGAACTCGAAACAATAGGCCACAATATATTTGCAAACAAAAAACTTCGTAAATCCAAACCGTGTACAAATAGCGCATAAAAATGGGAAGTATTCATAGTCCAAATAAAATTCACATGGTTGATATCAGAAACGTCACTTCGACCCCTAACACAATTTCGAAGCAATATTTGACGAAGCAATTCCCCGCCTAAACGTCTTAGCTTTTGCAAGTCAAGTTGGCCCGGAGTCATGGCTGATCTGTTTAAAAGGCATAGAGGCTTTGCGATTGGATTACCGCGTAGTACGGGCTCGATTAATTTCGTTTGTCTCTTTGTCTGGCCAGACGGCCGCTCGGACCCTCCGATCTAAAACTAAACAGCGTC